GGAGGGTGGAGTGGAGACCCAAAGCCCATCTGTAGTCAGTTGGACATCCTGTCAGAAGGGCCACAAGGAAGAGACAAGCCAGTCAGGGTGCAGTGTAGCACTGATGAAACACACAACCTTCCTCTAGTTCTTTAATGCCCCTCTCACTACCATGACCTCAATTATATCTTGCAAATCTGGCTATACCAGAACATGTACACTGGTACAGATAAGAGCTCGAAACACAGGGAGTCCAGAACAGAAAAACCCCTCAGGACCAATAAGGAGAGCGGCGATACTAGGAGGGTAAGGGTATGGAGGGTAAGGGGAAACCGATTACAATGATTGATGCATGCCCCCCTCCCAGGGCAGAAAAGTGGGTGAAATGAGACAGTGGTCGGTGTAGGACATGAAAAAAAAAAATTACCAAGGGGACATGGGGAAGAGAGGGTGGGAGAGGGAGGAAAACAAAATGAGGAGCTGATGCCAGGGGCTCAAGTAGAAAGAAAATGTTTTGAAAAAGATGATGACAACATATGTATAGATGTGTTTGATATAATGGATATAAGTATGGATTTTAATATGAACTGTAAGAGCCCCCCAGCCCTCCCAAAATAACCGTGTACCTATCAAACCACCCTCCTTGCCTAGGATCAGGAGGAGACCCCCGCCCTGTGAGGCCAGTGCTACTTCACTGATATACCCACGAGGCCAGAGGTGAAACAAACCTGCCCAGGCCACGGAGCGAGCAAGTGGGCAACCGAGAAACCAGTGTGTGCACTGTGCCAACAGGAAGGGTTTGACCAGGAAGTCCCTAGGTGGGGTCGACGAGGAATGCTCTCAACTGCTACCCCTGAGATGGGAGGCCTGGAGGTGCACCCAGGGGCAGAACAAAGGTCTGGCACACTGCACCCCCAAATCACCACTGGAGATGGTAAGGAGTGTCACTGTGGTCAGTCGGCTGCATGACCACTGGCGTTCTGGAGTCCCTGAGTGGTACAAGGTGTTAATGTGCCCATCTGGGTGCAGAATGATCGGAGCCCACCTAGAGGTGCCTTGGAAGAAAGCCTGGT